ACTTCTACGGTTCGTGACATTTGTACATTTGCCGTTCTCTGTTCGGTCACTCGACCTTTCTTGTCGCTTCCCTCGTGTTCATGAAGGGCACTTCATGTTGTGTAATAAGGAGGAATTTTAAGTGGAGTTGAGCCGTTAGATCGTTCTATGGCAAATTTTTATAGGTCATAGGTCTTTTCTCAAAGTAAAGCTACGGCGTCTTCGAAGGAAGTCGTACGAGAACAAATATGATATCCGTGATAAGGATCTACCTACTGTGCTTGCAAACAGTTCTAATCAGAGCCGGACCCGGCGTCACAATAGAATGGAAGCAAGCAACATGTTCACAGTAAATTTCATATTTTGTCCCTCTAAAGAAAATTCATGGAGACTTAAAAGCATATCTTGCAATAGAAATGAGCCTAAACAATGCAAAAACACATGGCAAATTACAGAGGTGTCAAACTCAACGAGTCGACATTCAGATAACAGCGGAAACCATGCAAACCTATGACCTATAAAAAATTGCAATAGCACGATCTAACGGCTCAACTCCACTTAAAATTCCTACTTATTACACAACAAGAAGTGCCCTTCATGAACACGAGTGAAGCGACAAGAAAGGTCGAGTGACCGAACAGAGAACGGCAAATGTACAAAAGTCACGAACCGTAGAGGTCGTATAGGCTAGTCAACCCCATTTTATATTTACAAAAACAAGTTTTTTGTCAGTGTTGTCGTAGTTTAAACTCGTATATGGCTCATTTGTTATCTTCCGAGAACGAGCATAATCTTTGTGTATTTGCCAGGCTTTCAAACAATATAATTCCTGGACTGTCTCCTTCCATCTTTGTATGTGTGGCGTGCATTCTGCATCTTACGGCCCTTAGTACGTTGTCCGGCGTTGTTCACGATAAATTCTCGTCCCCAGTTTCTACTCTCTACGCATGACCCTCCTTTTGGCCATGTAAATATCTTCTATAAATCTTATAAATCGTATAAATTTTTTTTCGTAACTCAATAAATAATTTACCCTCGACCCTCGACCCGGGCCTCGACCCTCGATATGCTACCCTCGACCCTCGACCCTCGACAAAAACCTACACTCGTTGCAAACAGTTCGAATCGGCCTAATCAAATAGCCGGGCCGGGCATCATAATATAGAGTGCAAGTAAGC